CCATGCGCTGCGACGCGGCGATCAGATCCTGCGTGGTTTCGGTCCTGGAGGATTGACTTTGCTGCAGCTCCATTGCGAATACAGTTACAAGGCAACACAGAGCAAAGAGTGGAGGTCTCTTACAAATCAATCCTAATGCCTATGGCTGCAATAGATGACTTTTATGTGTCTTGATCTGCATTTTGAGCGGCTCTGGGCGTATCAAAAACCGCTCCGATTCCGCAACTCGCGTTTGATTGTCGTTCCAGACAATCTGAACACACTCGACCCTCTGCACCGATCAGTGATCAGCGAACAGTCTGACAGCATCATCCCACGCGCAAATCCAAGCACCCTCCATCAAGTTCTTGTGTTGTTCACAAAAATCCTCACTTCAGTCTCAGTTCTCTTGCTTTCTGATCCTGTTCAATGCTCAAGCACACCCTGAACTTGGCCACCACCGCTGCTGGTCACCGCTCTGCCACCGCCGCCGCCGCCGTGCGCACTCACACTCCGCGTCGTGGCGTCCAAGCACTGAGCTCGCCGATCGCGCATCTCACTGGACCGCGCCGCAACCCAGGTGCGTAGTCGATGATCCATCGGTCTCTTTTGAGACTCGCACTCCTTTTTGTTCCGCTCTTCCCCACTCATCCTGTGCTCGCTCGGGCTTGGCATGGGATCTTGTGCTCTGTTCCAGATGGCACGGTTCCGGTGCCCCGCGAGATGACCGCGGCGCAGGCTGCACGGCTGATTGAAAGCAACCAGCGCGTCTTCATTTCGAGCGTCTGCAGCGCGCCCGCCGACCTTATTCAAGCGATGACGGATCGCCACGCCGAGCTCCGCAATGTCGAATGTGAGTCAAAACAAGCACCATAACAGCAATAAGCGAGTAGTTCGAATGATCGATCAACAACAGACGGTAAAATCCATGCATCCATCGTTCAGGCCAAACTCTCACTTGCTCTGACAACTCTTTGGTGGTTGCTAGTGACCTCGATTCACACGGAAGGACCCGCGCCGTACCTGGATCCAAAGTTCGCTGGAAGCTTCCGGCTGAACTGCATGTTCACCGGTGCCAACGCACGCGCTGCGGTTCAAGCTGGACGCGCTGATTTTCCTCCCCGTGTTTCTGAGCGAGGTGCCAAACTTGTTTCCGCCGGCGCATTCTTCCGCTGGACGTGGCGCTGATTACCGTTTCGAAGCCCGACCGCCATGGCTACTGCTCGCTCGGCACGTCGGTCGACGTCACCAAGGCCGCCGTCGAAAGTGCCCGAGTGGTCATTGCCGAGGTCAACCCGAACATGCCCCGCGCGCACGGCGATGGTCTGCTGCACGTGTCGCAGCTCGACGCGCTCGTGCATGTGGATCGGCCGCTGGTTGCGCACGACCCGGTCGAGCCCGATGAGGTCGAGAGCAAGATTGGCGCGCTGGTCGCCTCGCTCGTCGAAAACGGCGCTTGCTTGCAGATGGGCATTGGCGCCATTCCGAACGCCGTGCTCGGAAACCTCAAGTCGCACCAAAACCTCGGCATCCACACTGAAATGTTCTCGGACGGCATGCTCGACTTGTTTGACTCGGGTGCCATCACCAACACGCAAAAGACGATTCGTCCTGGCGTCATTGTGAGCGGCTTTGTGCTGGGGTCGCGCAAGCTGTACGAATTTCTCGACGACAACCCCCTGATCAACATGCTCGATATAAGCTTTGTCAACGACACGGCCGTCATTCGCCAGAACTCGCGTGCCACCGCCATCAACAGCGCCATTGAAGTCGACCTCACAGGTCAGGTCTGTGCCGACTCGATCGGCACCCTGCAATTTTCGGGCATCGGTGGTCAGATGGACTTTGTCCGTGGCGCCACGCTCTCTGCGGGCGGCAAGGCCATCATCGCATTGCCTTCGACCACAAAGAAAGGCCTGTCGCGCATCGTCACGACTCTCCACCCAGGCGCCGGCGTTGTCACCACCCGCGGCCACGTCCAGTACATTGTCACCGAGTACGGCATTGCCTACCTCTACGGCAAAAACATGCGCCAGCGTGCCCGAGCACTCATTGACATTGCCCATCCCTCGCATCGCGAGGCTCTGTTCAACGACGCGGTCAAGCGGTTTGGACCGCTGGATCTTTAAAATGGGGGCGGGGGTTTGGCTGTTCTCGAATGACTTTGGCCCTCTTTGTCTGATGCCGGCATTGCCTAAATACAGTGTTAAACGGTGCTGTTCCCAATCGCGTCTGCGAGCAATGGTCCGATCTTGATGCGTTCAACTTTTCAAATCGAAACCGAAAACTTTGCTGTCCAACGGACTCTCTTTCGCCAATAATTCCGGCCTTTGCCGCTTGCACGAAGCGAGGGCATTCACTTCGAGGTGGCCAACATTGCCCCTATTTCGATCATTTCTTGAAGCCTGAGACTTGCTTCCATTTGTCGTGTCGGCGGATGCCCTTGTTTTGGTGTCCTGCTCGGCACCTCGGCGCAACTGCACCACCCTGTTTTTTTTTCTCCCTTGTTCTCTCTCATCACATAATTCTCAGCCTCGATCATCTACCTCGAAGTACTTGTCGCGACACCATTCCATGCATCGAGGTAAGCAAAAACAAAAACAAAAAATCGTTCAACAATCCAGTTTTTTTTTTTTTGTTTTTTTTTTTTTTTGCCCCAACAAAATCTTTTTTTTTTTTTTTTTTCCTGTTTCTCGTTCGCACACGTTGATCATTTTTTTTTTTTTTTTTTGAGGTTGAACAACTTTGACCAAAACAGCCGTCAACTGGATTGTTTGGCAGACGCGCGCGCGACTCACGGTTCTCTTTGTGCTCCTCCACCCCCCTCCCCACGTCTTCCGAACGAAGCAGTCGAGACATTCAGGTACAAATGCATTTTCATTGGTGACGCTCTTTTTTTTTTTTTTTTTTTTTTTTTTTTTTCCATCCTCGGCGCTCTCTCTTCGATCTCTGACGCTGATCTCTCTCTTCTGTCTCTTCTGTCTCTTCTCTCCTGCTCCACTTTCCAATGCAGAGTGCCAACCGGGTTTGACACAATGAGCGGCCTCCAAGCGGCATTCGAGACATCGACGCCAGCGATGAAGTCTGTGCTGGTTGAGCTGCTGCTTGCGGACGAGCTCGACGCCCTCCAACAGCAGCAGCAGCAGCAGCAGCAGTCCACGTTCGCCTCATCCGCCACCTCAACCGCCCCTGTAAATGCGGGCAAGCATGGTAGTGTATTCCAGATGTACGGCGACGCTGCAACAGCGAGCCTACAGCAACAGCAGCAGCAGCAGAAGCAGCAGCTTGCTGGGAATGGGATGGCTTGGATGCCCGCGAGTGCGAACGGCATTGCGCATGCTGCCGCCACTGCTTCCTCGCTATATACGAGCAACAACCACCACGCCACTGGGGCGCAGTGCGACACGAGTGCTCCTGCTGTGTTCGGGACGACGGCGGCGGCGGCGGCGGCTGCGGCTGCGACCGACAGCGGTATTGAGGTTTCGTCGGACGACTCCCGCATGCTCTTCTCGTCCCCGTCGCCAGCGTCGTCCACCTCGTCGGCAAGCTCAAACCTCGCACCGAGCATAGCGGCAGCTGCTGCTGGGCTCGACACATCCGCTCTTGCCATCCTCAATGCGCTGTCCATGCAAAACCTGGATTTGCTGACCACAACCCCAACTGCCGCCAACCACAATAACAGCTTTGACCTGATGGCACTCCAGCAGCAACAATTCATGCTGTCCATGTATCAGTCGCTGAACGGCTTTTCCCAGCAACCACCGGTCTCAGCTCACCAACACCTGCCAGTCCAACCGTCGCGCCGCAGCGTCAAGCGCGAGATGGGAGCCAATGACACGACCAGCGACGACGACGACGACAGCAACGATGTGCATGCCGCCTCTGCGTCGTCGCTGCACTTGGGCGACCATGCTCTCTTGAACGGACACTTTGACCCCGCCGTGTATGGTGCTCTACCGAACGGCACGTCGCCGGATCTCAGGTCCATGATGACCAGTCCGTTGGGGAGCAGCCAGTATTCTGCTCTGACCGGTACAGTAGCAGCGTCAGCAGCGTCAGCAGCAGCAGCAGCCGCAACAGCAGCAGCAGCAGCAACAGCAGCAGCGGACGCCTCGCGAAAGGCTGCTCGCAGCAGCCGTGCGTCAACCCCGCGCGCAAGCAAGCCCAATAGCAACACCAGTGCCAAGCAGGCTCCTGTTGGTACCGATGGCCTGTGGTCACCATTCGCGTGGCCGCAGCCCCTTCCTTTGTCGCCTGCGCCCTTGGAGATTCGAGTGCTTGGTCTCCCCAAAGTCGGTGGTCGTTCTCGCGTGGAAACACAAACCAAGCTGTGCTTCCAGCTCATTGCCCCAACCGGCGAGCGCGTCACCGACTACTCCTTTTTGCAAGTTCCCTCTCTATTGCTCGCGCGCGAGTGCAAATCCGCGACGCAAATCAATGAACGAAACATGTCGAGCAAGCTCTCACTGGAGGCCGCAGTGCTTTGCGCCAGCGACCCTTCGCGACAAGTCCGCGCCTGCTTGAGCTGCTGTCAACGCGAGCTCAAGCGCTTGCGGCGAAGAAGGGACACGTCAATGCTGTCCATCACGTGCCCCGAGCTGGACGGCACCGTGCTTCAACTGGACGAGATTAACGACCAGAATGCGCATTTGCACCAGCAGCGCATCCTGTTGTTTAGTGTCCCCCATTTGCTCGATTTCAGCACTGGCGAGGTCACTGTGCCGACCCGCATCACCTGCTACTGTCGCCACCACAACGAGAAGACTGGTTTCATCATCGCGCTCGTCTTGCGAGACGTACACGGCACTGTTGTCGCGATGGGCCAGTCTCCCGTGGTGCTCATCACCGATGACCACAAGCTTGCTGTTCGCGGTGGCGGACGCGACGTCAAGCGGTCCCGCACCGATGACGTCGAGGGTCTGCTTGATGAGGTGGCCTTGGACTTGTCAGCCATGCCGCCAGTTCAAACCGGTGCGGGCTCTGCCTCGCGTCGCAAGTCAGAAGATGGCTTGGATGGCACGCCCATGTTGGAGGAGGCGGGTCATGATGATAACGACGATGATGACGAGGATGCCGAGTACAAACCTCGTGCTCGCCCAGGTCGCCGGCCGTCCAAGACCCCGTCGCGACACCCATCTGCCACGTCAACGTCCAGTGTTTTTGCAGAGGCATTGCTCGAGTCCGCACTCGCTTCCGCCAACCCTTCCACTGTCACGTCCCCGCGCACGCCGCACTCGCCGGCCAACTCGTCACTTGCCGGATCGCTGTGGCAGCTACCCCTGCAGTCGCAGCTGCAACCAATCTCCCCACATCAATTCCCAGTGTCCTCGGCGAATAGCGTTGTATCTGGCTCTGCGTTCCAGTCGCCTCACGACAGTCCCATGCCCACTGCTCCACAGAATGAGTTGCTGATACTCGGCACAGGCTCAGACTCCATGCTCCCCCCTCTGCCGACTGCAGCAATTCCTCCAGTGTTTGCGAGCGTACCAGCTTCGGCCACCTACCCGGAATCGTACATTGTGGACGACCTCGACCTGCTTGGCGATGCATTCGGCTTGGCAATGTCGCAACTATCTGCGGAACTGGCCCAACGAACGTCGGCACAGCACTTCACTCATTTACTCAGCCAAGACCTCGCTCGGTTGCAAAATGCCCAGCGGGCGCTCGCTGCCACCACGGCACCTCAACAGCACTCAGCGCATCCTGCATACGAAGCATTGTCGCTTTCGCCTCCCCCTCTCGCGCAATCTGCCCTGCCAGTTATTGCTCGCATTGTTCCAGCCGAAGGACCCGTTTCCGGCGGAACCGAGTGCACCATCCTTGGCAGCAACTTTGTTCCAGGCGTCGTGTGCATGTTTGGCACGGTGGAGGCGCAGCACACGCAATGTTGGGGCCCATCGACGATTGTTTGCGTTGCCCCGCCAAGCATCATCTCGGGATCTGTGCCAGTCACTCTCCGCGACCAACCATGGCCAGCGGACTCGGCCCCCGTATTTTTCGAGTACAAGGATGAAACGGATCGATCGCTGATGGAACTCGCGCTGCAAATTCTTGGGCTCAAGATGACTGGTCGGTTGGAAGATGCCAAGCAGGTATGTCATTGCTTGTTTGTTCGGGTTTGTTTTTTTCTTCCGCCGTGAATGGAACTTGGGACTGGGAGGAGTGGAAAACGAACTGAACGTTGCTTTCGTTGGTTTTTTTTTTGTTTTTGTTTTTGTTTTTGTTTCTGTTTTTGTTTTTGTTTTTTCGGGACGGTCTCTCACCCCCTCCAATTCTCCACCTGCCGGTATTTTAGATTGCGCTTCAAATCATGAGTCAGTCGTCTGGAAGTTCCGGCGGTGGCGGCACCCGCGGGCAAGGTTCAGCAGGGTCTGGTCAGACGGGGCACCGTCGCGCTGCGCTTCCAACTTTTAGTGAATCACTTGCTGCTGCATTCACCATGGCAAGCAGTCAGCGACATGATTCGACATTGACGCCTGCTGATCTCGAGTCGCTCCTGATCCTCACACTCGGCGCCGCGCTGCTCGTTAATCCCGACACTCGCCTGTCGCTTGCTCTGCGGGTGAGTAATCATGCTACCATTTCGTCAATTCTGTTGGTCTATTTCCTTTGGTCTATCTGTGTGATCGATTCTAGTTTTTGTCTCACTTTTGCTCTGCTTTACAGACCAAAACCCAGCACACCATGCTGCACCTCGCTTCGATTCGTGGTTTCCACCGACTTGTCGCCTTCTTGTTGCAAAGCGGTGCGAGCATTGACGCTCAAGACGTGAATGGCTTTACAGGTGGGTTTGATTTTGAGACGTTCGTTCGGCTTTGTTCAGCGTTCAACCTGGTCGAAATGCTAACTGTCGCTTCCTCCTTCTTTTTTTTTGCATTTTGTTCCTTTGTTGTCGCACATCCATGCAACAGCTCTCCACTTTGCCGCTCGAAACGACGACAAGCGATTGGTACGACTGCTCGCATTGGCTGGAGCTGCAACCGACATTGAGACTCGCAACGGTCTGGTGGCCGCCGACATGACATTTGACGAGCGGGTTCAGTCCGTCGTGTACTCACCTCACGACGCAAGCGAGCTGGACGACTCGGGCTTGGAAGAAGACGAAGAAGAAGAAGACTTGGGCTCTGATGACGAAGACGCCATGTCTGACGGTGCGCTCGTCTCGGACGGCAACGAAGCGGACGGCGAGGACAACGAGAGCGATTCTGAGATTCCCGACGCTGTACATGCGACTCTGCCAGCTTCATGGGTCCCAGTGAACAGCCAGATCAAGGAGTCGCTTATATCCGTGTCTGCTCTCCCTCCGCCGATGGTAGCGACTGTTGACACTTTGCAGCTGGTCGGAGGAGCAGCCAATGCCGGTTCGTTCGTCGGCATGCCCGCCAGACTGGCTCCTCCTCTTTCCACCACCTCCTCCTCCACCATCGTGACTGTGCCTCCTTCATCCATTTCGCTGTCCCTGATGCAGCCCATCCTCCCCGAAAAGAGTCCCCTCGACAGCGACGAGCTTGACGACGTTTTGAGTGCAGTCAGCAGTGAGCCTCAGGACGACTTTTTGGGTTTGATGCCTTCGACAGGAGACGCTCCTCGGCGACGCTTCCGGACTGGAGCCGCTCCGCGATCGGACAGCAGCAGCTTGAGCGCGGACGACCACCAGCCACGCATCAGCGACGAGCAGCTGTGGTTTGGTGCCACCTCTGCGCTTCCGACGCAGTCCTCCACCCTTGCCAGCTCCGCAGACCGCGTAGGCGCTGCTCTTTTGTCCTGCGCCACGTCAGCGCTGGAGGCCAACCAACCCCAGCAGCTCACCGGCAACGCCGACGAAAACGGATGCGCCACGATGGAATCCAACGTTGACGCGTGCGTCCTCTTTCCCGCCCAGCTGTACGAACGCGTGCAAAATATCGCCCAAAACCGGGCCAACGCCACCACCACCACCGACTGGTCGTCCTACTCGAAGGGCAAGTCCTTCGAGAAGAGCCAGGTGACGCGAAAGCGCGATTCGCTCGTCTACAACTTTTGGCTGCCCCTGTTTGCGAGTAAGTGTCTGTTGCGAATTGAGTTGGGTGTTTTTTTCCGCTTTTTTTTTTCTTTGTTGTTGTTGTTTTGGAACGGTTGATTTTGGTGGAGCGATGGACGCTGACGCTGTTCTTGTTTTTTGCCTGCGTTGGCCCGTTTGCAGTCGTTTGTGCTCTCCTGTTGTGGCGAGCCTCGCTTTCGGTCGTGCCGGCACTCCTTGGCGATTTGACTGACAGCTTGGTGTGAAGCGAATGACTGTCAAGGAAGTCCAAGTTCTTTTTTGTTTTTGTGTTCTGAATTGGGATTTCTTCTGAACTTTTTTCCCCCTTCACCTTTCACCCTTCCTCCCTTTGTTTTTGAAAATAGTTGCCTTTGTGTTATTGCTTCTTGTGATTGCTTCAATTTTGTGATTTCTCGTTGACTAAAGCATTTTAACCTTTCGTTGACCATTTTGAGTTCGCTCTCTTTTTTTGTGTAAGTTGGATTGAAAGTCAAAAAAAACCAAAAATCGCTTGAAACAAAAAAAAAAAACGATTTTTTTTTTTTTTTTTTTGTGGGTTGTTGGTGGCTTTTTGTCGCGACCATGCCAGCCACCACCCGCCTGTAGCGCCATGCCAGGTTTTTGCGACGTTCTAGTGTTGTCGCAACTTGCACCCTTGCATCGAGCATTCAAAGTGAATGGCATGCCTGCGAGAGAACGAGAACTTTTTTTTTCTTCGTTTTTTTTTTTTTTTTTTTCCGTCTTCGCAATGGATTTCCAGCAAAAATCGGCCAGCCATGCGGTCCAACAAAATCATTTTCTTTTGGATTTTTCAGTCCGTTGGTGCGAGTGCTGCCTCGGCTGCCGTCCCCGACGCGCCGATGCAGTCGTCCATGCACCTTGCACTTGGCGCTTGCAGCCACCAACTCGCCAGAGCGGTCACGGTGGCATCTCGATCAACGGCGCTGCTGCTCGAGAGTGCGCGATCTTTGGATTTTTTTTTCTGTCTTTTTTTTTTTTTTTTTTCTGTTGTTCTTTCTTGTCGAGCTTTCGTGGTCGCTTTTGCACCCAAAGCGTCCCATTCGTCATCCACACGTCGTCATCGTTTGAGTGATTGGTGATTTATCGCACGAACTTCCGTCTGCGCATCGTTGAATGAGGAGTCTGCATTTTCTTTTTCTTTTTTTATATATTTTTTTCGTATTTTCCAACGCATGTTCAACCTTTTTTTTTTTTTTTTTTTTTGCTCTTTTTATTGTTACATGCGTCTCACTTGTTTGCCGTCCCCTCTTTCCTCCAAACTCCAGCCCAATTCACCATGGATAACGAAAAGCTCGCCAAGCTCCAAGCTCTGCACGCCACTGCCCGCCTCGGTGGCAAGGGCACCCCCCGCCGAAAGAAGAAGGTCGTCCACAAGACTGCCGCCGCCGACGACAAGAAGATCCAGACCACCCTCCGCAAGCTCCAGCTGACGGACATCCCCGCCGTCGAGGAGGTTCTGTTCTTCCTCCAGGACAAGAAGGTCATGGCCTTCCGAAACCCCAAGGTCCAGGCTGCCCTGCCCTCCAACACTTTCGCCATCACTGGCACCCCCGCCACCAAGGACATCTCTGAGATGCTTCCCCAGCTCCTCGAGCAGCTTGGCGGTGGCGCTAACATGGACAACATCACCCAGCTCCTCAAGAGCCGTATGGCTGCTGGCGGCGCTGCCGGTGGTGACGACGATGTCCCCGACCTTGTTGAGAACTTCGATGAGGCCAAGGACAAGACCCCCGACGTTGAATAAAGACATCAAAAGACCTGGCAGGCGACTACCACGTTTCCGTAGGATGTTGCGGGCGCGACGCCCATTGTTTGCAATGGTTGGTTGTTGATTGTCGTTTCTTTTTAGCACAGTAGAAAAAATAGAAAACATTTTTGACCCACCCACGTTTCCAGAGCTGCGTTCATGCTGTACACCTTTGAGCTTGCTTCACAGAAGAATGTATTTGGTTTTGCTATTCCGTCAATGCAGACGACGTTAGGCCCATGCTCACACTTGTCGCCATCATCGCACGTTACTCGAGTTTGCTTAGATCCATGCTAAGTTCCCTGTGTGGGCAGAAACAGGACCAGGTCAACAGAAGGTCACGCAGAGTGAGAATTCTTGTTGCGGCAAACACCTAAAACCACCAAACTCAACCTAAAACCACCAAACGGCGCTTTCGGACTTACGAGGCTTCGCATCTTCGAGTTGCGGGCTGGTACTCGTAGAACTTGAACCCGGACGTTACAAATGAGCCTGGGTTGAGGCACACGCAACCATTGTATCTGTGATCGTAGGGCTCGGCCTTGTCGGCGAGAATGAGCTACAAGGGAAGAGAATTGAGTGACAGCTCGCACGTAGAGGCAACACGAAACCGAGGCTGGGACTAGGCATTGTTTGCGACGAGTTCTACAAGGGCATACCACATCGGGAGCGGGATAGATTCGAAGAGCATGATCAAAGTCCCAATAAACAGGCCGGACGTGCAGCGGAAGTGGACAGAGGTGTGCTTGATCGATCACTGTTTTCGTGAACTGCCAAAAGGCGGCGACGGAAGTAATGGCCGAGAAACGTTGAGTCGCAAGTCAAGGTGCCCGCGGACAAGCCTGTTTGTTGCACTTACCGCTGCCGCAAGCGAGACGTCGCTCTTCTCTGGTGTTGGCAGAATGCAATTGCGTCGCATTTTGGACAGGAGGTCCTCTCGGAAAATGACAATTTCTTGTGTGCAATACCGCAGTCTGCGAGTGGCGAAGAGGCGGGGAGGGGGAGAGAGAGAGAGAATTGCGGGTTGTGAGCACAAAACACATTCAAACTTAGTGTCGCCAAATCGATCCACCGTGCCACTTACCGGCACGGGTTGCTCCCAAATTCGACGTTTGGAACCAATTCACGAAATCCTTCTGTGATGGATGCCGAGAGTCCAGGCCGTGGAAGAATGTTTCCTGGACCAGGGTCGTTGTTGCCGGGAACAAACACAAATCGACTCTTCCGCTTGATTTGTGAAAACTCTGCGACCAACTTTCCGAGCTGGGTCAAACACTCTGTCCATCGATGCAAGCAAAAGGTCAGGCGTGCAGTCATTCGCAGCATGAGTGGCATCGCCATTGACAAACGTACGCTTCAACAGTGGTGCATGATTCCTTCCGTAAGGCGGCGAGGTGAAATCGCCAATGAGAATAAAGGCAACCGGAGGCGAGCTGGCATAGCCTGTAAAGAGTACACGGAGTTTTTCCATGGTCTGAACAAAACACGACAAGCTTGTGAGGTTGAATTTTTTTTTTTTTTTTTTTTGGCCAATGCAAGGACAAACAACAAAAGACCCCGCCTCGCACCTTGGGTTGATCCAGCCAAACATCAGACAAGACCACAAAGAAAGCGTCTTCGTTTTGCCGTTCGAGGACCTTGTATTGAGGCTGCGTGCGATCGGCGGTTGAGACAAATTCCAACCAGACAACAACAAAAACGACAACGCACGAATTTCAATATCACATGCACTTACAGCATCTTGAATGCTATAATTGCCGCCAAAAAAGTTGACCGCACTGAAATTCTTCCTGTCAAGCAGTTCCAAATCAAACAATAATGAAACAGACAGTAAGAATCGGAATGACTCGTCCTCAAACCCATACGACTCGGTGTTTCAGACGGTGCCGCAAGCAAAACGGTGCAACAACACAATCCATGTTGAATGGACCGAACGTCGCATACCTCGCAGTCTCGCGAGACTCGGAGGCCGGCAAACCAATCCAGCGAGCCTTGAGCACTTTGCCAACCACCTCTCCCTCCGTCAGGACAAAGCAGTTTTCGGTAAAGATGCCAGTGAGGACTTCCTCTAGCTGTGAAAGATCCAGCTCGATCGTCGAGCCCGCATCCTCGAGGAAGAGCTTGCCTTCCTCCATCTGGGTGAGCATGCCGAAAGTCATCAGATTCTGGAGATCCTTTTCGGCGGCCCCGATCAGAGCGTCCAACGGCGTCAGACTGAAGCGCTCCTGCTTTTGCTCAAACGCGTCGTCGGCGCCAGAGGAGGGCACGTGTGTGACAACAATCGGCTGCAGAAAGTGCTCTGCACGAAGCGTCCGCTGCTTCAAGAGGGCAAAGCGGTCTGCGTAGATGGCTGCCTTGGACGCTGCGTCTGAATGCAGCATTGGATTGCTGGGCACAAGCTGAAAGGTTTTCCGATCCGCATTGTAGGCCAGCTTTGGCACCGAGAAGGCGTCAATGCATGTCAGCAATCGATCCATGGAGGACGCGGCAATGTTGCTCACATTCGCTCCGTTAGAGCGAGCATGGCCCTGGTAGCTCGTGGACATGGTGGTTGGCGCAAGAACAGACTCAAAGGCCAAGTCGTCCAGCACACGCTGCACACTCGGACCGTCAACCACGCTCGAATCGAGCGTCCGTCGCTCCAGAGCACGCAGAATTTCACCAAGCTTGGCATCCCATTCGAATGGTGACAATGGGATTAATGCAGTTTGAATCAACTTGACAGACTCGGCCTTGAGGGCCAAGCCAGTGAGCTTGAAGGCGGCGACGATTCGCGCGCGAAGCCTCGCTCGGTCGGCATCGCTCAGCGTCTCGACGCCCTCGCCGTGTCCTCGAGCGGCTCTGTTGCTGGACGTGCGTGCGTCCCAGTCGTCCAGACTCATGGGCTCTGACGCATCCATGGCTTCGGAGCAGAGACGCTGGATCAAGTTGGTCGAGTTGGCGGGAAGAGTCGAGTTTTGGCGGGAAAACCTGAAGCACCCAATCGGCGGCTCGTGCAGCACTTGTATGACCGTCGCAATCAAGCAAAAGACTCAAAGACGACTGGATTGACTTGGGGGGTACTGCCGTTGCTAGAATGAGATTGGCACTTGGAGAGCAGCAAGACCCAAGATTGCGGAATTGCGCCGAAACAATGAACAGCAACTGCTCAAACAAAAAGACTGGCTCTCTGTCAGACTCATTCTTGAACCTGCTCGCTTGCGTTGTCGTTTTCCGTCAATACATGCTGAAAACGCCCGAGCTTTGACAGGCCTCGAGCTTTGACGGGTCTCGACATTGCGAAGAGCAGTTGTGGCCCAAATGTTTGTCAATTTCTATTTCCGTTTCCTTCTCTCCGCACTCACCCCCTCCACCTTTCACCATTCACCATACGTACTACACGACCCAACATTGATTGATTTACCTTTTGGATGAACACCCCTTTTGTTTTTCCCCCGTCTGTTTCGTTTTGGACGACGCGCCATTCCCCACTTCATATATAACTTGCAATGGCTGCTGTTGACGGAGCAAACCGCTTCGCCTTCCTGAACGAGGACGACGCCGCCACTGGCGACGTCACCGCCCCCAAGCCCAAGCCTGCGGTCGCAGGTGCGTGCAATCACCAGCTTTACGTCCGCGGCCCCTCTTGGCGCTGCAGCCCAACGCGAAGCGGCAAAAAAAAAAAAAAAAGCAAACTCGCCAGAAAGCAATAAAAAATAAAAAATAAAAATAAAACACACATGGACGGCAACATGTGTTGATGTTCTCAGGCGCATCGCGGCCCAACGCAGGTGCGCAACCTGCAGCAGATTGATTCAGCCCGTATCGTTGGCCTTTGCTCGCGTCGCAGCACTGGGCGGATCGGCGGTACAAACTGGTGGATCGCGTTGGAAGATTTTTTTGTATTTTTTTTTTTTAAAATGGCTTTTTTTTTTTGGCTTTTTTCGACTTTGTGCGCACGACAATGCAGCGTGCGCAGGCGGCTTTGGCGGCCTGGCGATGAGGCTTGAATCCATCCTGACATGTTTCAGTGGGTCTCAAGCGTTGTCTGCAAGGGCCAGTTGGCGTCGTTCGACGTTCAGCGATTCAACTTTATCATTTTTTTGTGGATTTTTTTTTTGTTTTTTGGTATTTTCGAGTCTTGAGCGCCAGAACGGTGGCTATTTGAGATACGGATTTTCACCCGTTGGCTATTTGAGATACGGATTTTCACCCGTTTGAGCTTTTTGTCGAATCCTTCCCTTCACCTGTCCTTGCCTCCCTGGCCCCGCAATCCATTGCGCGATATGGTTTTGCAACGGATTGTCGAGTCGAAGGAGGGCTCTGCCAGCCGGTCGGTGCTAAAGGGATTTTCGCAAGAAATCGCTCGTTTCATTTTTTTTTTTTTTTTTTTTTTTTTTTTTGAGATTTTTTTGGAGATTTTTTTTTGTTTGTTTTTTTCTGTTTCGCATGTTTCTCGTTTTTTTTTTTTTTTTTTTTCATTATTTTGTTTCCAACGCATTCAAACACCAATTGCCACAAATCACTCACCAATCCTTCTTCTTCTTCGCATTGTTGGTTCTTGCTCTCTCTCTCTCAAACAGCTCCCCGCGCTGCCCCCGTCCAGCAACGCGCCCAGGCTCCCGCCGCCCGCTCCGCCCCCCAGGGCCAGCGTGCTCCCCGCGAGCAGGGTCAACGACCACCGCGCCAGTTCCGTGCTCCCCGCGAGCAGGGCGACTTTGAGCAGCGCCCCGAGGGTGAGCGCCAGGGTGGCGACCGCCCCCGTGGCGAGCGCCGCAACGGTGCCGGCCGTCCCCACCACGAGGGTGGCCGTCCCCCCAAGCGTGAGTTTGACCGCCACTCTGGCTCCGACAAGACCGGCGTCAAGTCCGAGGAGAAGAAGGGCCTGAAGTACAACTGGGGCCGTGAGGACACCCGCGCTCCCCGCCGCGACTTCAACCGTTCGCGCAGCGAGAACGCTGAGAACGCTGAGGCTGCCCCCGCCGCCGCCGCCGCTGAGGGCGAGACCCCCGCTGCCGCCGAGGGTGCTGAGGCTGCCCCCGCCGCCGAGGCTGAGGCTGCCAAGGAGCCCGTTGAGGAGGGCCCCAAGGAGCTGACTCTTGAGGAGTACCGCAAGCAACAGGCCGCCAGCGCCACCAAGTTTGCCCTGCCCAAGGCCCGTGTTGCCGGCGAGAACGTCGACAACAGCCAGTGGAAGAACACCACCACCTACGCCCGCAAGGACGAGGATGCCAACCACCCGTTCGCCCACAAGGAGGCTGCCCCCGCTGCCGCCGCCTCGACCTCCGAGAAGAAGGCCCCCAAGAAGGAGCACGTCCTCATCAACCTGACCTTCCCCGAGATCCAGCGCCCCGACCGTGCTGACCGCGGCGACCGCCCCGACCGTGCCCCCCGTGGCGACCGTCCCGACCGCGCTCCCCGTGGTGACCGCCCTCCTCGCGATGGCGCCGCTCCCCGCAACGCCCCCCGCGGCAACAGCAGCAGCAGCGGCTCGCGCCAAAAGGCGTTCGATGTCAACGACCAGTCTGCTTTCCCCTCCCTCGGCGGCAAGTAAGAAGGGTTGTTTCCTCCCTCGGGCAATGGAACAGGCCCCTTACTTTTCAAGGCTGCCTGTTGGTGGGCTCTGATGCGCTAGGTGTCATTGTTCATTCCCCTCCTGAAAAAAAGAGCGGGGTGGAAAAGTAGAATTGGCGCAAAACACAAAAAAAGAAGCCGGTTTTCGTCGTGTATGCAAAGTGGATTCAGTTACAACTCTCTTTTCTGTTTCTGTTGTTTTTTTCTTACGTCTTGTACTGGTCCCCTTCTTGTTGCTGGCGTTGTCACTTTTTTTCGCGTGTGTGTGTGCTGTTTCTTTTTTTTCCCTTTTGTTTCTCTTCCCTTTTTTTTCTTCTCCCTCTTCTTATGTTTTGTCTTGTGGTTCTTTGTTGTGTCGCAATAGTGATTTTTTGAGAAATCCATCTCTGTTCAGCATTTTATTTTTTTGTTTTCCTCCAGGGTGAACGGAAGGGAGCGACCTCGCTGGTTATCTGTCAAACAGCGAAATAGCGTCTGAAATTCCCCCCCCCCCACGTCTCTCCATTGCAACAAATAAAAAAAAAAATCTCCACTCCATTTTCATTTACCTTTTGCTTTGCCAACAGGTTTGGATGCTGACCTCGGGGGTGCCATTTTCGGGCGACCCAGGCGACACCAACCAAAGCAACGGCAACGGCAACAGCGATGCTGCCTCCGCCGCATCCTCCGGTCGCTGGTCGTCTGGCAGAACACCAGCAGCCCCGACGACTGCACCAACCACACAACTCCCGTCATCCCCGTTAGCTTCCGCGCAGCACCACCGCGCGCGAGCAATCCAAAGTGGAGGAGCCGCCGCAAACGCCGATGCGCATCCATTCGCATCAACACAACCAACCGCAATGCTCGCTGAGCCATGGTCCCACCAGGGCGTCCATGCCATGTCGTCGCTTGAGCGCCTTCGTCCAAGAGCAAGCCCTGCAGCAGTCACGGCTGAAGCTGCCGCCGAAGCAGCAACAGCAGCAGCAGCAGCAGCAACAGCAACCGTGGCGGCCTCATCGTCTGGTTCCGAAGCAGTCACGTCCGGCCGCTCCTCCGTCCACCACGAGTTGGTCCAGGTGCTGCCTGTGCACCATGCCCACGCGAGTCGAGATGGTCCGGCTCATCATCACATGTACGAAACGGGACACGCGGGGAGCGCTGCGTTTGG